TGCTGAACAGTATCTTCAGGAGAAACTGCCAGATGAAGTGGTTCTAAAAATCTTCTCTTATTTGCTGGAACAAGATCTTTGTAGAGCAGCTTGTGTGTGTAAACGCTTTAGTGAACTTGCTAATGATCCAATTTTGTGGTAAGTACAATCCTATTCCTTATTATCTTGAGATATATTGTTTTGCTGCCCAAAATGTTAAAACATGATAGGGAAGTTGAAGTAGAGTTGGTAGTAAAATTAAATAGCTGTATCAAAATTAAAATATTTACAACATCCATATTATCTGTTTATCATAAATGTAGGCTGTCAATCCAGGCAGCATTTCTAAAATAGTAACTAAGTACTTTTTCTGCTGTTTCTGTTAGAGCAACTGAGCAACTATGGGAGATGTTTTCATTGCTTTTTAGAAGCAGAACTAAAGTATTAATCTAATAGTTTAATGAGAATATAGATTTCTACATACTTTTAGAAAGTAACTATTCAAAAACCTTAAAATATGCATGCCTTTTTTCCTAGTAATTCTACTTCTGAAAAAAATTTGATTTATGTTCATATTTTTTATAGCAGCATTATTAATAGTGAAAAAAAAGTTAGGAATAATGTAAATGTCCAAGAATAAGGAAGTGAACTAAGTAAACTATGTAACACCTACTGGGAGGATTATGATACAGTTACTAATAATGATTTTTTTTTAGAGAGAGAGATTTTTGCTATAGAGCACATGTGATCACCAGAGAGACAGAGAAAGACAGAGAGATGGAAAGCAAGAAACCACCCCCCCAGGGGTGATGGCCATACTACAATTCCTTCTTCTTCACACATCTCTCAGGATTTTGGTACACATGCACATGTGCCCAACATGAGCTTCAAGCTGCCAAGTCTGAGACTTGAGCCACTATCAGCCATGTGGGAGTCCAGTAACTTAACCATTATACCATCTGCTGGTCCCCACTAACAGTGATTTTACAAAGAATTTTTTTTTAATTTTCAGAGAATCCATGCACTGAGAGAGAGTAAACAAACAAGCACCCCTCATTGGAGCGTATGGCCATGCCATAGTTACTTCTCCATTCCCATCCTGTCAGAATTTGGAGCATGTATGCACATGCATCCAACATGTTTCTCAAGCCACTTGTGCTGGAGTTTGAACCACTAGAACTGAGGTTCAAACCACAGTCTACCTGTAGAAACTGGCTCCTGTAACTACTGAGCCATGGGTTAACTCACAAAGAATTTAATAACATGGAAAAATGCTATGTTATAAAAATTAGAAGAGCAAAACACAAAATTTTGTAAGGTATGTAATGAACACTATAATAAATATAACAATCTTTCAGTGAAAAAACTGAAAGGAAATTACTTAACTATTAATAGTGAAGACATCGAAACTATATAGGTTTCTCTTTAATACTTTTCCTATATTGTAAGCAATTATGTATGTATTATTCTTTTGATATAAAGAATAAGGTACACCTTATATTTATAAGAAAGAAAAATTATGCTTATGTCAAAAAAAGAATAATGAGAATGAAGAGCAGAAGAAAAAAGAAACATTTTGAATTATATAGGAAATGATAATAGTTACTATTACTCCTCTTCTCAGATTTCATGATTCTTTTATTTTTTTAGATTTTTGCCACAGGGCGCCTGTACTTACCAGAGACAGAGGCAGTGAGAGGGAAAGTGAGAAGTCTCCCTACCCAGGGCGGGGTCGGGGGGGATGGCCATGCCACAATCTCTTCTCCTTCATTCTCCTCCTGGGAGTTTGGACATGCACATATATACACCCAGTGTGATTTTCAAGCCACCACATCCAGGACGCCAAAGAGGTTCAACCACATGGGAGTCCAGCACCTTAACCACTATGCGACCTGCTGCTCTCTGATTTAATTATTTTTTTTTAATATTTATTTATTTATTTGTATTTATTAATTCATTTATTTTAATTTGACCAGAGAGAGACACACAGAGAGAGAGGGAAAGTGAGAAAGCAAGCGCCGAGGGCCAGAACTTGAACCATGGTCAGCCATGTGGGTTTGTCCAGTGCCTTAACCACCATGCCACCTGCTGTCCCCAATGATTTGATTATTCTTAATGTGATGAAAATGGACCAAAGATAGAGCAAAAATTAAAATCAGAGTATTTTCCATATTGAAAATTATCTTTTGAAGTAGTAATTATAGGGGGCTGTCATGTGGCATGGTAGTTAAGGTGCTGGACTCCCACATGGCTGACCACAGTTAGTCTCAGACCTAGTCGCTTGCTTTCTTATTCTCCCTCTCTCCCTCTCTCTCTCTGTGTCTCTCTGTCTCTCACTGATCAGATTGAATAATAATAATAAATAGGGGCCAGTAGGTGGCATGGTGGTTAAGGGTGCTGGCCTCCCACATGTCCATTCTCAGTTTGAGTCCCAGACCTGGTGGCTTGCTTTCTCACTCTCTCTCTCTCTCTCACTCTGTTCCTCTCTGGTCAAATTAAAACAAACTAAATCAATAAAATAAAGTTAAATAAAATAATTTTTTAAAAATAATAAGTGGGGAACCAGCAGTTAGCGTAATGGCTATGTCGCTGGACTCCCACGTAGTCGACGGTGGTTCCGTCTCCGG